AAATGTAAACAATAGTGACTCCTGTGAATATTTACAGAAATGTAAACAACTCCTGTGAATATTTACAGAAATGTAAACTTTAATGACTCCTATTAATATTTACAGAAATGTATCCCCAAATTCTGCTTTTCTGTCGTCTTTTTCAAAGGAAAAAACTGACGCAGCTGCAGCATGCCTACACGTGTCTGTTCAGAGACTACGATTCCAAACTGAAGAACGAGGTCAAGACGGATTTAGTCACTTTTTATATTCGTGTCTTTGTGTTGTTCTTGTGTTGACGTTCCTCTCCTTGTGTTGCTCCAGGAAGGAGATCTTAGCAGCCGCCTGGAGGACGCAGAGCGAGCGCTCGCCTTGAAGCAGGACCTGATCGATAAACTGAAGGAGGAGGTGGAGCAGCAGAAAGGTTCGCTGGAGACCGTCCCTGTCCTGACAGCGCAGGTACACCCGCACACCTGAAGCTTCTTTACACGGCAGTTCTGTTGCAGATTCAATGAACGTTAAGAAAACGGGTCAATTTATTTTAAATTGCTGGAAATCTGTGAAAAAAATCTGCTCCTCTGTTTACAACTTTCTCCCTTTTGATCTGTTGGCTTTTAAGTTTCCAACCATAGTTTATTATTTTACGATCTATTAGGATCACTAATGAGCTTTGAAAGCAGAAGTCTGTAACCTCCTTTACTCAGAACCTGAAGTCACTTTAACTGCTTTCATTTCCAGATTTTATACACGTTGATATTTGTCAGAAGGTGGCAGAGTTGTACTATTTACTGGATTTAACTTGAACTGCAGCTTTGAGACACACTTTAACTTCCCTGTAGTGAAATCAACAGTAGCCCCTTATTAAGATGGATACGTATATAAAATGTTATTTAAAGAGTTTAAAGTTCTGTGTGAACAGTCGCTACTTAAACTCAATTTCTCTCTAAAAGAATCACACTTTCTGACCAGAACATGACCCAGTAGTGTTTTACTTCAGGCAAACGCCTAAAAGAGGACGTGACTAGGCTAAAAAATGTTGTTGTTTTTTCTCGAGCTTTGACACTTTGAAATTTGACAGTGGGTGAAGTTCTGGGTGGGGGGCTGTATAATAGAAGCAGGAGTTTTGTTGCTTGCTCAGACCTTTTTTGATCAAAATTAAGTAAAAACTGTAATCCAGCAAAAAAAAAAATCAGAATCATTAAAGCCAAATAACAACAGGAATCTGAGAACAGGGTGAACATTTTTATGCAGAATAATGAAACCAACACTCCCACTTGAAGAGATGCACGTCACCTTGCGTGTCAAAGTTTTAAACCTGGGCTATTCAACTGGCGGCCCGCGGCCCACTTCTGGCCTTTGGTGACTTCAGTCCGGCCCACAAATGAGTTCAGGAATTTTTATTTATTTATTTATTTATTGGGGCTCTAAGTTTGTGTTTTGGGTTCTGTTTATTGGATTTATGATTAAATGCAACAAAATAATCAAATTTAAAAGGTACAGATCATTGTAATAGTTGGTTTATTTACATAAAGACTTTAATTGCTGGCTGTCCGGCCCCTGAGCAGTTCAGCTGAATAGCTCTGTGTTAAACCACCATCTCAGGCCTGTTGGTGCTAAGAGCATGTGTTGGGGATGACTCACAGCTACTACCACACCTATTTTTATCTCAGTATGTGTAAAATTGACAGAGCTGTGGCCGTTTGTGTGTTTGTTGAGTACCCGCAGCGGCGATCTTTAAAATCCGTCCAGTGGTTCATGAGATATTTTGCTAACAAACGGGCAGAGTTGGCTCTAACGGATGAAGGTAAAGTTTGAAACGCAGCTCTTGTGCGATCGATTCGGGTCTTGGAGTATAATTTACAGCTCAGTCTGTAAAATGGATATTTTGCTAACAGAAATATAAACAAGCACAGACGCAGGCAATTACATTATCGCCTGCCTTTCAGTGCAGCTGGCAGTAATAATAATAATATTTCCTATTTCTTTAAACCTTCTTGTACAAAAGTAAACGGTTAGATTTTGCCTGATTGTTGGCGTCAGTGAACATTTTTTAAACGGACCGTGTTCATTTTGACGCGCCTTCTGTTTGCTTTAGATCAGTTTTGTTCATCTGTGTTCAGAATAAACTGGACGGTACGTTGTGTGTTCCTCAGGCTGAGATCTACAAGGCAGATTTCCTTGCGGAGCGAGAAGCGAGAGAGAAGCTGAACCAGAAGAAAGAGGAGCTGCAGGAACAGCTTAATCGGGCTGTGGCCGAGGTCGACAAGCTCAAGAAGGAGATCCTGTCACGGTAAAACAAACCTGAACTGTAGTCTCATGTGTCGATGGCGCTCGGTGAATGTGCTTGGAGCTCAAAGCTTCGTTTGGGTCACTTTGGATTCAAGGAGACGTGTTTGTTCTTAATCTCCATTGCTAATCTGATGCTGAATCAGCTTCTTCAGCTTTACTGCCGATGTCATCAAAAGCAGTCAGCTGGATCTGCATTTGTCCTTTCATGACATCGCTGATACAAACCAGAGGCAGATCTTAAGTTAAAAATCAAATGATGCTCGGCCTTAAGGTGCAGGATCTGCAGCAGAACCTGAACCAAGACGAGGTCGGTTAGATCTAAGCACCGGTGTCGGTACAAATCAGGCAACAGAAACTGTAAACGTTTATTGCATTCTAAGAGTTTACAAACTTGTTTGTTTACATTTGAACGCTGACGAGTTCACTTCGGACAGTCTTTGTGTATACTGAGTCGTTAATATAGTTCCTGGATAAAAACAGAGTCGGAGGGAGAACGATTGAATCGGAGACACCAGGTCCAATGAGAAAAGGTGAAGTTCTTCTCTCGTCTTCTGAGAAGAGACGGCGACTAAAAGCTGCGAGGACGAGGGTCGTTGTGGGGGCGACATCGAGAATTAAAGCAAAGGTTGGAGCAAAGATCTTACAGGGATGAGCTGAGACGTCTGAACTCAAACAGGAGAATTTATCGAACTTATCGTCAACCTGTTTAGTTGTAAACGACGGGTAGTTGTTGTTTTCTAACGTTATTTTTACAAAAACCCCGACGAGTTTACACGAGGCTGTTTTTCAGCAGAACTAGCTTTTCCACTGCGGTTTCCCTGTTCACGAGCACCGTTTTCTCTCAAACCAAAGCTTTTTGAGTCCACGTCTCAGAATGAAGGTCTTGGGGACACACACACACCCCCGCCTCCCACAGAGACGTGAAATTGGGCGTGCGCTCTACGGACGTCTGCAGTCAGTTTCTCTGCACAAGTAAATCATCGACGATAACGACGACAGGTAGCAGAGTGCTGTTTGTGCTGCTCACACTTTTCAACATGTAGGAACAAACCAACCACATCCTTGGTCCAAACGAACGGTCCTGTATTCACTATTTTGGATATATTTTCATACTCCAGACTGCATGCGTTTCTCGTTGAGAGTCTGGCATTGGTGTTGCCAGATATGATAATTATAGTTTTTTTAATTATACACCTGTCATGATCTGTCTGTACATGCGTACATAAACGTCTCGTCCTGCCCATAACTTCTGACTCACTCAAGATAATTTAATGAAACGTCATACACTTCCACATCGTTAGACAGACTATAACGTACACTTTTCATCACCCCAGCTCCAAAGTCCAGGTCAAAAATCAAGGTCAAAGTTAAAGCAAGGTCTTCTCTGAAACATTGCTATAGATTGTTGTACAATAGTTTGTCAGTGGACGTATAATGTGCCATTTGCTGTTCTGGTTAGCGGTTAGCACTGTTGCCTCGCAGCAAGAAGGTCCTGGGTTCAATCCCTGGTTGGACCTGGAGTCTTTCTGTGTGGAGTTTGCATGTTCTTCTCATGCATGCGTGGGTTTTCTCTGGGTGCTCCAGTTTCCTCCCACTGACCAAAAACATGCATGTTAGACCGCTTCAGGCCCAGACCTCCCTTGCAAAGAGATCTGTGATCTTGATGGGATTTGCCAGGTTAAATAAAGGTTAATAATACTGTTGTTATAAAATATCTTAGTTTCAGATTCAACGAGCGCAGTATTACTGTGTAATCAAGTTTTACTGTTGTCAATTGGGCTCAGTAAGCATTAGAAAACGCTAGCGGTTCCATAGATGGCTCACGTTTAAACAGGGCCAAGTGACATTACCCCAAACATTTAATGATGTACAAAATGTGTTAGAAGCATAAAAAATAAACTTTAAGAGTAGCAACTTTGGAGATGCAGTACTTATTGTACTGTGTAAAAAAACCATCCTGAATTTCTTGTAACCTTTTAAAGAAGTCTCGTTCAGGGATTCTCTCGTTCTTCTGAGGTTTCCTGTTTCTGTCCTTGTGCCTGACCACTTTCAGAGGAATGTTTTTGGTTAAACCATTAAACTCTGACCTCAGTCAGGAATAAAAATGCTCCTCAACTCCAGAGACGAGTCGGGGTTGAGTCGACACAGTAAATAAATATATATTTAAAATCTGATCTTGAGGCTGCTGTTACCAACCATTTGTCACAAAGATGTTTGCATTTCTTAGTTGAATCTTTGAAAATCATCAAATATTACAGTCAATCCAATCAACTAATGTGTGCCAAAGTTGTAAGTTGTATAAATAAATTAAGAAAAACTAAACCAAGAAATTCAACTTGGGTGCATTGAAAGTATAAAAATACTTCTGGTATTTTATTTGATATATTCAAAGGAAGCTAATCGTTTCGGACGTGCGTTGTTCTTATTTGCAGTGTAAAACTTGTGTTTACAGCTTAGAAAACAATCTGAACGAACACTGAGTGAAAATGGTTCGGTTCAGTTCTGTAAATCTGTAGACGTTTTTAAACGTTGGATCAACCTCAAACGTGCTCGTCTGTTTCAGTGAACGAATGGAGCAAATGAAGATGAGACACGTGAAAGACTTTCCCCAGCGGCCCAACCACATTCCTCCACCGCAAGGTACCTTACGTGCACGCAAACATGCACTACGATTTGCTTTAAAAAGTGTAAAACGCGACAAATGTGCAGTTATTTAGGCTACATTCCACTGCTGGCAAACGTAACTTCAATCTTTTTTTTCCTTATCATATTTTTTATGTCAGTCTGAACGTGGCACATCTGATTTTTATTGTATTTATTTATTTGACTGAGAATCTACACCAACATGCCAACGTGTATCGAAACTAGCATGGTGGGATTTCACATCCAGTACGTCACTCCCGATCCAAAAATACAATTCTGAATCCTTGAAACCTTCAGAATCGATCCACGCGTGCTAACGTGTAGCGTCGATATCTCCTGTGAACACAACACGCAGCGTGTGGCGTCACGTCTTCTGTGGGTCGCTTTAGAACCGTGGACTGGTCACATTATAACGACCACACAGAAACGACTTAAAATGAGTTCAAAAAGATCATTTTTTCTGCCAAGAATAAAAAACATTCAACGAGCTTCGTGCTTTAGTCTGTAGATTCACCTTTCACCACAAGATACTGTTGCCTCTTACCCAGAATTCATTTTGTTTTGTTTAGAAAATAAAACATTTAGGATCGTCTTTTATTTTCCAAGTATTTCGTCAAATCCCACATACCCTGGGCCTTGCACGTGGAAATGATTGTATCAACGTTTCATTTCCAGTTTCGTTGGTGTGTTATGATGCTTTCTGCTTTTAGACATGTTTTATGGAGGAGCCTTCAACACCGTCCCTCCGGCCCCGTCTTTTCGGAATCAGGTACCCGTCAACGATCGAGGAGCACCAGGAACCGAGGAGCTGCCCGATTTATGTTGTCCGAAGTGTAATTACTTGGCCCCAGACATGGACACGCTGCAGATACACGTCATGGACTGTATACAGTAATGAGCAGGAAACAGATTTGTCGATATTTGCATCCAGCTCTGACAACAGACCCCGTTTGGTTGCACCTTACTCTCTGCCATGCAAACACACAACCCCGGTTTGGATCTCAATGTTAAAAATTAAATGTGTTCAAATCAAAAGAAGGCAGGTCGGGGCAGTCGGAAGGCCTTATAATAAAGTGAAAGAGACGTCACGTTTTCCCTCTACTGCTTCGTCAATTTGTCTTGAGCTGTAGATTTCTCCGTCGTTCATCCTTTTCGAGTGGTTTTATTTTTCATCCCAACACCTGGCCTTTTGTCCACTGACACCTCCACCCCCATGCATTGCTTCTGATGAAGCTCACCGTTTTTTATTTTGGACATGATTCCAGTTTCATCAGCCTTTTCCTTTCTCGTGCAAACGAGGAGTGAACCACACGCCATGGAGTAAACGTGTATTTTCTGACTGCATCCTTAATCCAACATATCAGTATTTATCGGACCTAATAAAAAATGTGATCAATCAGGAATGACTTCTTTTTTTTTTTCCTTTCCAATAAAATAAAGATGCATGTGATTTTTAGCGAGCTTTAAATAAAATGACTAAATATGTTTTGGTTGCAAATGTAGCATTTTTGCATTACCTCAAAACGTGTTGTCTATTAGAGATGGATTTACTCTTGTTGAAAAAAGTAGCCATTCTCTGTGTTCGGTGCCCGTGTTTTGATTGTGCCGCTGCTCGACCTCTGATGCTTAACCTGACCCGTAACCCACCTCGGAGCTTGTTGTGCCCTTTATCGTGTCTTCTCTTTACCTGTAATGCCTGCTATTTATCGATATGAATGTAAACACTGAGGTTCTGTCGCCACTTGTGATAATGTTGTTTGTAATTAAGAATCATTTTGTTGCAAATGTTCAGCTGTTTGGGATTTGCACAATAAATTAGTTATTAAATTGTATTTGTGTCTTGAATTGGTGTTTTAGAAATTGGAATGTGTTGCAAACCACTGGACGGAGCTGCGAAGAGTGAGCAGGGTCGCTTCTTTTGTTTGTTAAAATCAGGTCTCTCTTGTGAATGAGTCCTCGAGGCTCAAAGGGATTAACTTGTATAAATAAACGCTGAATGAATAGATATTATTTAGCTGTGAGGGCCCAGAAAGAAGTAAAATAACCAGAATCATTGCTACTTTAGCTGGTGTTCAACTAGTTTTAACATTAACCGCTAACTTTAGCTTTCAGCTAGCCTTTGCTACTTTTGCCATTTACCTAATCTTTTGCGAAGTTTAACTTTCAGCTAGTATTTTCTACTTTTAGCTTTTAGAGTTCAGCTCTAGCTCCTTTTACTTTTTATTTAAACTTTTACTAAATTTAGCTTTTTTTTTTTACTTATGCTACCTTTAGCTTTCAGTTACAGTAGTTGTTTGCTACATTTAGCTTTTGGCTGATACTTTTTCTGCTTTTAGCTAGTCTTTTGCTTCTTTTTAGCTACAATTTTACTGTTTTAGTTTGTGTTTAGCTCATTTTAGCTTTCAGTGTTTTGCTACTGCTTAATTTTTGCTTTTAATTTTTACCTAACATTTTGATAAATTTAACCTTTTTCTAACCTTTTGCTACACTGCCAGTCTTTTGCTACATTTAGCTTTTGGCTATTGTTTTGCTGCTTTTACAGTCATTTGCTATTTGTGGCTACAATTTCAACTAATCTTTTGTGCTTTTTTAGCTTTTAGTGTACTCGCCTAACTAGCTTTTACATTTACTTCTGCTAAATTTATTTTTCATCTAAATTTTTGCTTAATTTAGCTTTCAGTTGGTCTTTGTTACATTTAGCTTTTAGCTAATGTTTTGCTACATTTAGCTAGAATTTTTCCTATATATTTCTTCAGGAATTTGCTACTTTTATCACAATTTCCGTTTAGCTAATTTGTGCTCCTTTTAATACCTAAAGATTGTAGCTGACCTTTCTACATTAAGTTTTCTAACTTTTGCCATATTACACTTTTGGCTAACCCTTGTGTTGCATTTTGTTTTTAAATAGCCTTTTGCTACGTTTAACTTGACCAAAATGTTTCAGCTTCTTCAGAAGTTATTCAACACGTAGCATTTGAGTTATAGCAGAAATGCAGTTAATCTAATGAAATATGTTGTGACTTTAAGCAGCTTTTTGTTAACCTTTTCTTTAAACAATTTCACAATATCTTTAATTATACTAGAAAAAATTGTATTTCCTGCAAAAATGTAGTGTGAATGCTGATTGCTGAATAATTTTGCTGAAAGATGCTTAAAAACCTAGAGTTTATTTAAAATATGTCAATAGCTAAAAATCTGAAAGGTGACGCAAGAAACACAAAAATAACAAAAATGCTGTAAGGTTGAAATTGGGTTCAAAAGCTAAAATGTGTAGAAAAGTGTAATTTGAAAAATAAATGGTGTGAATAAAGGCACAAGCAGAAAAAAGCTAGTACAAAGCAAATAAATAAATAAAAAAACAAACTGCTAGCTAAGAGCCAGAAGAAGCAAAATGCTTTTAAGAAATAAAGAAAAGGCTATAGCTTGTGTGGTATGGAGGGTGGAATGTGACAAAAATAAATAAATAAATACATCATGAAATAAAGAACTGTAAATGTCCTTAAATAATAATTAAATAATTAAATGTATCAGTTAATTATTTAATACATTATTAAATTATTTAATGATGGGAGCATTTACATTACATTTAATTGGGAGCTATGAAATAAATAAATACACAGTGAAATAATTAAATGTATTTTTAAATGAAAAAAAAATCTTAAATGCCATTTCATTGTTTAGTGTCAGTATTTAAAAGGTACATTTATTTATTTCATGGGACATTTCCTTGTGTATTAAACAATTTAATTTTATATTTAATGATGTATTGAATAAATTGTGTATTTAATTTTGTCACATTCCACCCTCCTTAAACTGAATTCATAAGTAGTCAAATGCAAACACAAAAAGCTAAGAAAACGCTTTATTTGTTTGTTTGTTTTGTTCTATTAAACTATAATTGAAGGGATAAGGCTAAACTCAAAAAGCACATTTAAACGCAACATGGTAAATGGTACAGTCCAGAGTGGTACAGTCCAGAATGGTACAGTCCAACCGTCCTGGTCGTTTAAGGAAGCTCGCGCTTTGAAGTAGAGCCGGAAACTTGTTAGGAACTTCAAATTAAGGCACACGTTCCTTTTATCTAATTATTCTTGTGATGTAACAAGATATTTTAACTTTATACTTAAATTTTTGGTGCAAATACAATGTGAGATATTGGCTCATATTTTATACGGACTTGAAAACGTCCAATGAAAAGTTGGTTTTATTTTATTTTGGTACGTCGTGTCGTTTCCGCTCACGAACGCCGCTCAGCTTGTCTGTTCCTACTTACGGGACTTGGACCTCTGTCCTGCGTGGTTTTTGAACCGACCTTCGTGCAGGCATGTCAGGCTCCAGTCCTCCACCCCCCTCGGAGGATGCTGTGGTATCTGCGGGGTGTTTCCCCCCCGGATACAAGCCTTTTAACCCCGAAGAGCACGGCCTGGATCGCGGGTTCCGTCTCACCGCCTTCTCGGACCTAAAGGGATGAGGATGCAAGGTCCCGCAGGAGGCTCTGCTCAAACTCCTGTCGGGACTCGAACCGGACCGGACCGACGGCTCGGGGAAAGCCGAAGACCAAGCCTCGCAGTTCGTTGAACAGTTGCCCGGCCCGCGGCTTGGTGAGGAACGAAATGATTTCGTTTTTTAACTCGGAACATTTGTTCTCGGAGCTAACGTCAGTGTTAGCTAACGAGCTAACGTTAGCTTGTTGGCAGGATGACAGCTAGCATCCAGAGAAAACTGGTTTAACTGTTAATTTGTTAACATATAATCTGCTCTCGGTCCTATTATCTGGTTCCCCCATCATAAAGACACGAGGACAGATAAACAAAAGGACAGATGTGTGTGAGCTGTTAAATTACACAACTGTAATGATTTAGCAGAATATTTCTAATTCTCTGTGGGTACAAAGTTCATCACTTACTGTACATTTTTACTATCGTTTAACATAAAGTAACAAGTTCTGCCAAAATACTTTGATCTATCCTGCAAGAATTGCACTGTAATATCAGATAACGTGTTTGTTTTTAATTTTAGGTATTGGGTTGGACAGTTGTGTGATCCCCATAAGACATGGAGGCCTGTCCCTGGTCCAAACCACTGATTTCTTTTACCCTCTCGTTGAAGATCCGTACATGATGGTGAGTCATTGAATCACTGTCTACTGTTTTTGTCTGTACTTTATATGTTCTGTCTGGAACAGGTCCCTCTTTCAAATGAGTCCCTGTGGCTCAACATATAAATAAAGGTTGAATGAATGAGTGTGCACCCCCTCACACACAATCAGTGGCAAAACAAACCAAAGGTTTCAGTCATTTTGTGTTGTCTCGCAACGTGAAACCAGTTCGGTCCCTTTCAGATCCAGAAATCAGAACTTTAGATCAACCACCATGCATCGCATCCACGTCATCAATATATATTTTTCGCCAAAGCTAAAGGAAAACGCTAAATTGATCCTTACTGTTTTCATGAGAGTTGAGATGGGATGTAGTAGGCAAGAGCTGCTAATCCAAAGTGTTAATTATTTGTTTATAAGAAAGAGTTTTTTACTGTTTAAATTTTGCAGTTTGCTGTTCTGACACATGCACACTTTATGAGAAACAGCAGATCTGCGCGCCGCCTCCTCCTCCTCCTCCTCACTGCTGCGATATTAAAGTGTAACTTCTGACCCAAATCCAAGAAAAATGCTGTGGAATGACGTGAAGTGAGCGGTTTATATGAACAAACGTCTACTGTAAACTGAGGTTTCCCTGGATTAAAAATCCTCTAAATTGACATGAAGGGCTAACCGCATGTTATCGGCTCATTTCTATTTATTTATTTCTTGCAGCGGTTGAGCAATAGTCTTCTAGGATTTCTGAAATTCTTTTAAGGTCACCTTGGTGGTGCAGAAATTCTGTTTTATGCTTGTTAAACTATTAATGTGCAGGTTTTCATAGAACGAACTGAAATGGGAACAAGTTGTCTTTAAGCCGACAAACTTTTAAATCATTCAAGCTCAGGAATTTTTTTCTGCATTAATGATTCACAGGTCAGGGTTACAGTTCTCTATTTTTTTACATTAAGAGGAGTGCCTCAAAAGTTCTGCACATTACTGGAGTTGTATTCAGTCCTACATTCTCGTGTTCACTCTCACACACACGTGTTTGGTGTCGTTATCAAAACAGGCTGTTTTAGTCTCTTGAAGAGCTTCGGGAGTAAAAGAGAAAACCGTAAATGCTTTAAGGAAAAATAAGCCATCGGCATTGGAGGATGGTGACGGACGTGTGGCCCCAGTCATGTGACTGCAGGAGTTTAGACCGGAGTAACGTGATCATGGTCACATTTCTAAGTCTGACCCAGATGGACTGGGGCTTGGTCATTGCCAACATGTTGCAGAATTATAACAAATCTTTCTGCCATTTGTTTTTGGAATGAAACAAAAGACCGGACTGACTTGTAGATTAAAAATCGTACCTGCGCTTTTCCATTAAAGCGAATTTTATTACAAGAAACTCCGATTAGATGACTGATCGTCAGAGTTCAGGTCAGGATGCAGTAAAAACTACCGTGGTTTGAATCTTTAGATTTAAAGACACCCTGCTCATGTGCTGCTTCCTGTTCGTCAGGGGAGGATAGCGTGCTGCAACGTCCTCAGTGATCTTTACGCCATGGGCATCACGGAGTGCGACAACATGTTGATGCTGCTGAGCGTCAGCCAGAAGATGAACGAGAAGGTACCGCTTCTTTTCTTCCTGCCTGGAGTCCACCGGCACTGAATCTACTTCACTGCAGTTTAGTTCAGCGTTTTGATGTTTAGTCCTCTTAAAAAGTGAGTTTTAATAATTATCTTTGTAGACTTCATGTTCCTGTTGATGTGAAGTCACTTTTTTTGGACACTTCGTGGTTTTATTTTTTATTAAGTTTGGAAATAATTGTTTCACAGACGTCTGAGTCATCTCTTCAGAAAAAAAAAAGTAAAAGAAACAGACGTTTTATAAATTTGATCCATTTTTAAAGTAATGTAAGTTTTTACACAAACGTTTTTGTTACAAGTTTGAAACATAAAATTAGCTGATTTTGTAACATTTGCAGCTCTTGTTGATAAAACAGGACTTCGTTCTTTACTCAGTCTTTTTATGTTTTTGTCTTTTTTTCTCGTCAGATCAAAGCTGAGGCGTTTGTAGGAAAATTCAGAGACGTTTTTTAATTTTTTCTGTGGAAACAGGACCGAGAGCGAGTGATGCCGCTGATGATTCGCGGGTTTCGAGACGCCGCAGAGGAAGGCGGGACGTCGGTGACCGGCGGTCAGACGGTCGTCAACCCCTGGATCATCATCGGAGGCGTCGCGTCCGTCGTCTGCCAGACCAACGAGTTCATCATGTGAGTGCCGTGAAGAACCTCTGGTTGAATGTATTGTTGGTGTTCATCAAGTGTGCAGTCAGGGATGTTACTTTTTAATTCATCGAGCTCGGTAGCTTTGCTCATTTCCCTAAAACAAATGGAAAAATCATGGAATGTATTTATTTTTTGGAAAGGGGAATATTTAAAACAGACACATAAAATAAAAAAACTGACTTTAATCACATTTTATTCCATCTGGACAAGTTTTTAACTTTTACACTATTTCTTCTTCCTGCTGTCTTTAAATGATTTGGAGCAAATTCAGATTTTCTTCCTGCATTGATCCGGTGGTGCAGCAGATCTGGGGGGGGCGCTTGGTTCTGTTGCCAGGGTGGGGCGCCCCGCTTGTATAATAGTAGGGGAAACACTAAGTCCTAACTAACTAGTGTTGGTTAACACTTTAGTTAACTAACATGCTAGTTAGCATGTTAACTAACATATTGGTTAACACTTTACTTAACTAACATATTGGTTA